TGTTTTAAATTATATTTAAATGTATAATATATATATTGACATCTATTTAATATATAGTATGAAATGATAATATTAACAATATTTATTAATATCTAAAACAAAAACAAATAACACATTTATAATTATAACAACAAAAAATTATTATTATACATATTTATATACATATATATGAAAAATACTAATTTTTGCTCTTTTTTCTTTCTTTTTTTCTTCTTCTTTTTCCTCTCTTTGATATATATTGAAAAAAAACAAACAACAACTACACAACAACAAAATTCCAAAATTATATTTGCTTTGGTTTCAAAATTTTAATTTCATTTTCCAATATTTGATTTGAATAACAATAAATTTGGATATTATCTATGTAATTTGTTTGCATTTGTATGAAAATGAAAAAAACCTACAACAACATTGCAACACGATCCAATTCAAAAACAACTCTATGCTGTGCTCTATTTCTACAACAACAACGAACAACATCAACACAACTCTTCTTTCTACCGAACAAACAAAAAAAAAATCATTACAACACCAACAACTGTACACCATCTCCTCCAACAACAACAACAACAATTTAATTTTGTTTTATTTTCGGTTTTTTTTTTCTTTTTTGTTTTCCCTTTTAATTTCCTCTTTCTCCTTCTTGTTTTTTTGTTTGTCTGTAAAACTCTTATATAGTTACTGGACACCCTCCCGGTGTGCCAAGATTTTAATAGATCTATGTGCAGTCGGTTAAATTGTAGATTCGTTCATTTAACTGAAGGTAAGTGCATGCTGCTGAATTTTATTTATTAGTTTTATTTTTTTATTATTGAATTTATTTTTGTATTTTTTATTTATATATAAGGCTTACTTAGTGTAGTATATCATATAACAAAAGTTTGTACTTAGTTGCTTTTTTTTAAATTACTTGGAATATTGTCACAAACGTATATTACATTTACAACATGATATTAAAGAGATATGGATTTTGTATTTATGTTTTTATTTTGTTTTTAAAATTATAATTTGTTGGTTTCTTTTCTTTAAATTTGCAAATTTTATTGAGAAAATATGGAATATTTGAAATCTATTATAAATGAGAGATTATCTTTAAGGATGAATATTATACATTATAATAATATATAAAAGAATATTTTTACTAAGAATTAAAATATAACTTTAACAAATTGTTTTTCTAGAATATATACCCAACAAAGCATTTCAAATCTTATGAACATTTCCACAACGTTATTTTGTGGACAAAAATTAATGTTATTACCCATATTTCAATTTCAAAATTTTAAAAACGGCTACTTTTTCTAGAAAGTGTCACAGACACAATGAAATCTTTCAAATTTGTCAGATATCATGTAAGAAAAATCAAGCATGACTATATTCTATTCAATTTGGTCCATTAAAAATGATATTCAGATCTTGGGTCACAAGAAAGAAGCTCTGCTTGTTTTTAGTTTTTTGAGGCGTATAACTAATATCACAACGTATACGCCCTATTTGTCATTAATAAATGTTGCAAATACAAATCGAGCAAATAAAGGTTAATAACGCGCTTGATATAACGAGATCTATCTATAATAAAGAAAGGATCGGGTAAACGTAGAAAAAGACCATGAAAAACAGACGATGGTTGATTTCTTGTCATTAATGACCCTATGTAAAACCTTAAAAGCGAAATTTTTGTAAAAAAAAATGTAGGTCAAAAAATTTTATGTTGTGGTTTTTAGCAGGACGAAGAAATAAGAATATATTTAAATCAATATTGCTCGTTTGATTTGTATTAAGACATGTCATCTCATAAATAATCTGCAATGACCGCAAACAAAGATATACAGCTTTCCCTTATGAACTTTAGAACGACCAGCAAAATATGTATCTCGCCAGAACTCAAAACTTGTCCTTCTTTGTTCTTTTTTAGTCGCCAAAGGCATAACGGATTTTCCAACCTCAGACCATGAGCTCCATTTGGTGTACAATTTCGTGTTCGCTCTGCTTGCGACACCTTGAAATACTTGTCTTGTACCAAAATATATAAAAAAATTATATTTTTGCTAGCAGCAAACATTTTTTATATATTTATTATCAACTAGCAGACCCGGAAAACGTTGTTTTGCCTTATCAGAATGGCATAAATTTAGTACCCAATCTCTAATCGGGCAAAACGCAAAGAATCTATATAGCGCGCCATCTGTCGGATGAACTTCAAACTACACAGAAACACTCCTCACGCCACATAGTACCTGTACATACAACTTGGTCAAAATCGGTGCAATAGTTTTTGAGTTTAGCGATCACGAACATATATAGAAATAGAGATAAGCAGTTCCAAACAAAATTTATCATTATTGTATGGAACCTTAAGGCGTATGAGTACTGTCACAACGTATACGTTATTACAATAAATGATGAAGGATTTCTAAATAAATACTTTCTTCCAAATTTGAATTGCATAAAATAATATAAGTAATTATATTTTTGCTAGCAACTATATTTTTTTAAATATTTAAACGATCATGATGATCTATCTTATCAAAAAACCGTTCCATGTCCAAATTATGAATATTGTATGAAACCTTGAAGGTGTATGAATGTTGTCGCAACTTATACGTTATTACAATAAATGTCGCAGTATTTTTAAATATATAAATTTTTTGAAGATTTATTTCATATTAAAAATTCCTATCTCAATTTCCATGCCAATTTTTTTGAAACGGTTCCAATACAAAGGCCTCGCCTGATAGTCCTACAGTGAAATGTCACGATCCCATTTATGACATTTTCAAAACCAATTGGGTATAATTTCCCATACGGACTCATAGTGGGTAAACAACATATTCACACAACATTTTCAATATATTTTCCAAATTGGGGTATTTTTAAGGTACGACTTATTCAAATATAATATGTAATACTAGCTGACCTGGGCAAACATAACTTTGCCTTAAAATTTGATTTTAACTGCAAGTCTCGTTCCTTGCAAAGTCATGACAGACTTATGTTTCCCTGAAGAATGATAATTGTTCAAATACCGATTACTGAAGCTGAATATTGCGCCATCTATTGGACAAACTCCTCACGCCCCATAGAGCATGTACATAGAGTCTGGTCAAAATTTTGCAGCAGCTCTTGAGTTTAGCGATTACAAACATACACGTAGTTTATATGTATATAGAGATTTCGTTTACTTAGAGAATAATTATGTTCCTGGTGAAAAATCAACAATTTCCAAAAAATTTTGTCGTGAGATATAATTTGGCACCACCTATCGCCACAATAGTAAGATGATAAATCATATCTAAGACGGTACTGTCGGTCGTATAAATAATGTCATAAAGTATACGCAGTCGATATAAATATAACTCCAAAATGCTAGTTATTAAAAAGGAGAAGGTACTTTAGGTCGTATAATTGGTGTCGTAATGTATACGTAGTAGATATAAAATTTACTCCGAAATGCTTGGTATTGAAACTGGACAGCCTTTTTTTTGGAAATGATTACCAAATTTTCTAATAGATTTTGATATCCTATATAATTTTGATTCGATTAAGATATGTCCATTCGTCTATTAGTCTGTGTGAATAACTGGATACATCTTGAAGGCAGTTACGGATTTTATATAATCTTTTAAATTTTTATTGCGATTTACCAGATATGGAATAAGGTTTAAAAATTGATGTTAGGTGGCACCAGACTTATTGGTACCATAACTAGGTAATATACAATTTCTAATGAGGTTCATTGTGCCGTATGAGTGACATCGTAAAGTATACGTTACGCTTTCTGAATAAATAGACGAACATCAATTTTAATTTTGCACTACAGGTTATGGGTACCTTCTCTATCGTTCCAACAAAGGTTTTTATCGAATTTCACTCCGGTTTTATAGAAGATCTCCATCTAGTTATCACTATAACTAATATCTTTCAAATTATGTGCTAACATTGCAATTATTGATTTTATTTTTCCTGCTCTCGGAAATTTTTCTTTTAGAAAAATTGGAACATAGCTAAGTTTTACGTTAGAAACTCGGAATTCAGCATAGAAAAAAGACAAGGGTTTCCATTCATGAAATTTTATTTAAAAAAATAAAAACAACACGATTTTTCTGTAGAAATCACAATTCTGCAAAGTATGTCTTTAAAAGAATTTTATACTGCCCAGTTTTTACAGTGTTTTAATTAATTTTTTTAAATAAATAGTGGCCTTATTCAACAGCAAAATGTTTAGTTTTATCGTAAAAATCCCCAAATCAGTAGCTATATTATTTCAAAAAAAAAATATATAGTTATAATTAATTAAATTATATTACAGGGTGTAACGACCTATTTTCACTGAGCAGAGCACTTGGAAAAATATTTAATGGGACCGCCCATTCTCGGTTTCAAAAAAATTAATTTTAGTTTTCTATTTAATTCGAACTTACACTAATTTAAGAATGTCCTTTTAAAATTTCAATTGAAAATCTCAACAACTAGTGAAGATATAGCCGAATTACTATATCAGCATCAATCGACGGCAAAAGTGCTTCACAAATTTTAAAAGCGATAACTCAAACACAAATAATACAATCCGTTTCAAATGTTTACGTCTTATTCTGTACGTATATAGCTATTGTATGAACTAAGGGTTCAGTAAAACTGAATTAATTAATTGTTAAATTTTTAATAAAAAATATATTGTTAAATTTGAAAGAATTTCTTTAAGAATTTTAAGCAACCGACAACAATGCTATAAATGTTAAAACTAATTTTATTATAGTATATAAAATCGTATTCTTTATAATTATTAAAATATGGAGTTAAGCAATTATGCAGATTTTAAGACTATTTTTAACATTTCATTTTTAAGTCACATTGTTAAGTGAGATTTATTTTAAATACACCTTTATTTTTATTTGTATATTATAAATTATAGTTTCATATAAGATTTTCACAAAAAACCTATCATACTAATCAAAATTGTTCTCGTTTTCTTTTTTCCAAACACCCAAAATTCTTTACAGACGATAAGGTTGAAGTATGTGATCAACGTGTGGCTGTGTGTCGTGATCATGCCAATGGTCAGTGCAGACGTAAACAATGTAAATATTATCACATACCAATTGTATTACCGCCGGCAAATATAATGGCAGCATTAATCAATGGCAATACAAATACAAACAACAGCAGTAGCAACAACAACATCAACAGCACTATCAGCAGCAGTAATACCATTAACAACAACAACAGTAACATAGCAAATCTTAACAATCAAATACAACAACAACACGAGTTTGAACAACATATTTTACAGCAGCAGCAGCAACAACAACAACTTAAAATACCCACATCTGGTGGTGTAATACCGGCTGTGGCAACAACAATTGCCACAACAAACTATAACAACAATCTGATTATTATTGAACCACATCAGCAGCAGCAACACCAACAACATTTCTATACGCCGGCCACCATTAGTTATACCCAACATCCATCAGCGATGGCCACACCAAAAGCCTTGACAAGCCAATCGAGCCAATTATTCCAGGCCACACCCACAACTCATATAGCAGCAACAATACCACATATCTATCATACCTCACCACATCAACAACAGCAGCAGCAACAACAACAATATCAACAGTTACAGTATACAACTGCCAATACAACAGCATACCAAAGTGGCCATCAACAACACACCGTACATCCCCACCACCACCAACAACAACCACAACACCATCATCATCCACATCATCAGTCTCTGCATCATTTAACCTCACCCTATTCTCCATCGGCTGCCTCCACATCATCATCTGCCTCGTCGTCCTGTTCCAAAGCCTGCTCACCCACATTGTCCAATACGACGACACACTCAACGACATCCACGGCAACAATACCCACACCGATGGCAGCTAATTACTTGCCTTTAGCAGCAGCAGCAACAGCACCCCTGCCACCCACGACCACAACAAATTTCCTAAAGGCACCGCCACCACCACCACCCGCACACAATGCTGCGACCGCCATGACTTTAGCCATCGCCACCCAGGCACCACTCGTCTTGGGCTGTTCCACCCTGTCCAACAGCAGTTACAGTACGAATTGCATTCCAATTTTGACAACGCCGCCAGATGTTGGCGCCCTGACAGCAGCGCATCATCATCACCATCATCATCCGCATCAAACCGGACATGCGACAGCAACAGCCTTTATATATCCGGCAACTGCGCAACCGCAACATTAAATCAAATTCGTACACTCACACACACATACATGCGTTAAGTATGTATGTAAGTTAGTTTTTTTGTTTTTGGGTTTTCGTGGAAAATTTGTATTATTGTAAGTCACTGAAGAAACTATGTTTATATATGGTATAAGATCTTATAATAATATATATGTATGTATATTTATTATGGATAAAAAAATATGTATGTTTGTATGTATGAATGATTTTTGTAATGTACTTTCACATACATATTTAGAAAAAAAACGTTTAAAATTTAATGAAATATTTTTTGTTTTGTTTTAATTTTAATTCTAGTATTATTTTTTTAATTATATTATTTTTGTTTTTGTTATTTTATATTAAATAGTTATGTATAAATGTTTTTAGTTGTAAGGAATTTAAAAGAAATTTGGTTGGTTTTGAAATGAAATCGTAAAAGGAGTAAACATTCTGAAGGGTAATCTTCAATAATTTGGGTTTTTTTTATTAGGGATTTAATGAAGAAATGTCAGAAATTGTAACAAAAAGTAATGCCAAGTTTTTTGATTTCTAAATTGTTTGAGTTTCTAAATTATATAAAATTTCAATGAGTCTTTATTTGAAAAGAATATTCAATAAAGTCTGCAAAATTTCAAAAGTGAGTTCAAAATATTGTATCCGAAAATAAAATTTTAATCCCAATTTTTTGTTCCATTGACTCTAAAATGTGAAGCCAAAGTTTCATTATGAACAGACGTTAATTACAGTATTTAAAAATATTAGTTTATTTAAATCTATAGAAAAATATTCAAAAATACCCTATTTGAAAAAAATTTAAAAAAGTGGTGCCACGATCTAGAAAATTAAACCATATATCGAAAAAATATTCGTATCGTACATAACAACTATTACAATTATGGTTTCAAGTGCAAGAGAGGAAATGAATAGGAAAAAGTGTAGCCAAGTTTGTCAACTAAGTAATTTGAGAAAGTAAAGTCAATATTCTGTAAATTGTGGTGAATTTTAATAATATATTTCTTTCATATATTCCTATTCATGAATATTACAGAAATTATTCCCTTCATTTCATTTGCGAGAAAATTTTATTGATCAAATAATTGCAATCAAACTTTTTGGATTGTGGCTACGAGAGAAAAAAAAGTACATAAAAACAATTAATATAAATTTGAGATAAAAAAAATTAATAGTGAGGCATTCTAAAAAAGTGTTGCCAAGTCAAACATAAATTGAACTTTGCATTTCTCCCGAAAACTTTCAAAACTATTAGTATCTGAACGAGTAAATCTCACGAGAATTTCACATGATGCAATAATAAGGTGATGTATCAAAACAAAAACATTTTTTTTTTGTCTCGATTATCTGTCAAATTTTTCCTTATAATATTTCAAAAATTTGGCAGCATTGCACATCGAATTCAAGTAAAAATTAACACTTTGACAGTTAATCAAGACATCAGCTGCTCTAAATGGACTACCTATTCATTGTGCCATGGAATTTCATGGGAAGGCGTAAAGCAAATTTGAAGAAAGTGAAGCCAAGTTTCAGTGTGCTTATGATAATTCAAGTACAAGAATCCCATACGATTTTCAAAGGGAAGAATTTATGTCACTATTCATTATGCAAATAGATTATATTTATATGCCTTTTTTGTCGACCGCCTCCGATCGAACCTTCAATTCCTTCGAAAGACCTTCATTGCAATTTTAACAAAAAGTGATGCCCCATTTATTGGTGTCTGTTGAAATTTAATTATTAATAGATCATAAAATACATTCGTCAAGGAGAAATGAAATATAATTTTCAATAAAATCGTCGTCAAACAAAAAAAAGGTGATGCCCATTTAACTCAAGAACAAGAATACCATACGATTTTCAAAGGGTGGAATTTATGTCAAGATTCATTATGAAAATATTTTATATTTATATGCCTTTTTTGTCGACTTCTTGGATTGAACCTCCAATTTCTTCCAAAGGCCTTCATTGCAATTTAAAGAAAAAGTGATGCCCAATTTATTGATGTCTGTTGAAATTTAATTATTAATAGATCATAAAATACTTTCATCAAGGAGAAATGAAATATAATTTTCATTAAAATCGTCGTCAAACAAAAAAATAGTGATACCCATTTTAAGATAAAAACCTTCTATTTATCGACATTTTTTCAGAAATTTAAACTAAATTTTTTATCGACCAACAGATCGAACAATATATATCTTCTAAAAATTTATTATCCAATTACAATCAAAAAATTTTAAAAAGTGATGCCAATTTGCAATTTAAGTATTTCAGTATTACAAAGTAAATAATAAATATATTCTTTAGAGAGCAGTAAAGCAGAATTTTTAAAATAATCGTAAAATAAAATAAAAAATGCTGCCCAGTTTGAAATTAAAATGTTCTAGTTTGTGTAAATTTTAATCACCGTTAAATTTGTCTGTCGATTTTCATATTTTCTATAAATCAATTGAGTTTTACTATTGGCAATATTAGTCCCAAAAAGATATGACACTTAAAAGTGAAGCCAAGTTGTAAAAATCAATAGCAGACATGTTCTAAAAACTACATTCTTTAACGAAGATATCAACCCATGATCAACACTAGAACACTAAAAATATTTCAAATTATTCCCAAAAATGTATTCTTTTGTTGCAAATATTTCTAACCACCATGATAGAAAAAATCTAATTTCCCCGATAAGAAATAATTTGCTTTTGGCACCCGAAAATACGGATTTATAAAATATTTAAAATACAAATATATAAAAAGTGATGCCCAGTTGTTGTTTTCATATCGTGTAGTATATACCAAATTTATTCAAAAAGTGGATAATACAACGAATAAAAAATGCATCGAAGAGGTTTTCAAACATATTTGAACAACTTTATGGTGATGTCAATTTCGTATTTAATGCTTTTGCACTCAAGGTTGCAAAAGTAGAAAAAGTGGTGCCAAGTTTTAAAATCTTTTTACCAACATCTTTTATGAAATTCCTATTCAGCATATGTATTTTTTTAATGATCTTCAGCTAAATCAAAATCTAAAATATTAAAAGGTGATGCCAATAATTTTTCGGCAACCATGTATATAAAGGTTTGTAGAGTTGAAACACATGCGAAATATTTCATATTTTTACAAAATGATTGAATTTGAAAAAGTTTTACACGTTTGGCCGTTCAAAAGTGATGCCAAATTTGTAGGTCCTTTCTGAATCGTGTATGTCTATTCTGAATCCACAGTATTATATTATCCTTCAAGGCAATGTGCTGAATGAATTAACAGTTTTTTTCAGTAAAATTTATTTAAATGCTGCCAAGTACTATTTTTAGTCTGCAGTAGTTTCCAACAATTCGAAAATTAAACATTGAAAAAATGTCAATGCTTTATTATTGTAGGAAAAATGCAATGTTTCCAATGCAACATTTTAAATTTTCCGAACATATAATATTGGCAATTTTTTGGGAAAATACGTAAAATATCACAAAATTTTTAAAATAAAAAATATATGTTCCCAATCTGAGACTTTGCCCCAAATAGCCCATATTGTTGAAGATACCCTTGATGATTTGATATGATCTTTTTTTCTCCATAATAACTTCAATTTTAAATAAAAATTGACAAATTAATGTTGTGGTTACCCAGCAAAAAAAAAAAAAAAAAAAAACAAAAATGAACATCTACAGTTGTCAGATATATATTTTTCCTAAAAATGTATATGTAAAGAAAATAACAATTTTGTTTTTATATGAAAACAACATCGTTTTTTTATTACAAAAATGTTGTTTTCTTTACAAAAAAACAAAACTCCTTTGTCATATAACACCACATTTTTATATTATAGTTTTATTTCTTTAATTAAAATCCTCCTATCCTATATGTAGTTATATATAAAATTATTTCAATTTCACAATATACACCCAATTAAAAAAATATATAAAAAAATACAAAAAAAAAAAAAAAAATAAATTCAAACATTTACCTACACAATTACATTCACTCTTAACACAACAACTACAACAAAAAAATGCAATTTCAAACCAAACAAAACCAACTGACACATTTTTTTACATTAAAATTTTACTCAACACAAAACAAAGAAATAATCAAAAAAAAAAACTAAGAAAATGATATATGATATAATTAAATACACACAAAGAAATATGGAAATTTACACATTTTTAGAGTAACAAAATAAACTACTACTACTATTACTCCTACACCACAGACAAACACACACTCACTCACTCAACTCACATACACAATTAAGAAAAAAACAAAACAAAACTATATTTGTATTTTAAGAATAAAAAAACAATTTTGAAAAAAATATAGAAACATAATTTTATAGAAATTTCTAGGAAACTAAAAATAAAATAAATTAAAAAATACAATGAAATAAATAAAAAAAAGATAAATAAAATAAAAACTACAGAGCTGTTGAACAATTTATTGAAATTATACAAACATAAAATAAAAACTAACAAACAAAGAAAAAAATATTAAATATTACAAAAAAAATGAAGAGGAAGATAGCGGAAAAAACTAAACTGAAAACATCTTCAGAAAAAAAAACCAAACAACAACAATGAAAATACTACATAGAAATCAAGTAGAACAATGAAGAAGAAATACTAAAAAATAAAATAGAAAAAAAAATAAAAACGTCATTAAACATGAAATTTTAGATGAAAACAAAACGTAAATTACGAGGGTGGTTAATGAAGAAAGGAAAGACACTGTTCATACCGTAAGTAGTAATTAAAATTCCTAGGAATATTTCTATGCAACATAAAAGTGATGCCTAATGTTCGTTTTCGTCAGTTATTACTAAAGAATTTTAAAAATCTACAAAATTAGATAATTATTTCGAAAATTTTAAATAGTAGCAGTGAAGCCAAGTTAGTTTCTGTAACCACAGTTTTTAAAGCTATTATTTGATTTCGTCGTTAAAAGGGTATAACGGGTTTTCGAAAAACGTAAAAGTTATATAAATGCTACCTAGTCCACAATGATAACAAAAT